TTGATTGGTAAACTTTAAACATTTCTCATTTAAAAATTATTATAATTTAGTGTTGGAATTTTTTTATCTTAAAAAGACTATATAGGAATCTGTCATTAAAGATGTTATACAGAGCTTGTCAAAATGCTACAAAATTGATAAAAATTTAATATCATATTCTGTATTCTCTTTCAAAGTTCGGGCCCTTTCAAATTGATTCAGATCGACAATTTAAATAAAAAGTTATTAATTTTTGAATATCCGAGTTTTACAAAGAAAAAGTGTAAACATTAAAAAATGCTACCAATATAATAATATTTTACACACAAGTAGATCATCAACAAACAAAAATATAGCAAAGTTTGAAACAATTTACAAAAAAATTTTTGAAAAAAAAATGCAGTAATAGTTATTTAGTCACTAAAACTACGTTTTTTACATTCTATTAGATTTTCCGTAACTATTTATGTACCTACATTTTTTTGTCTTTGGATTCCTGGAGAATTAATATCGGTGTTTTTAATATTTCCTGTATATTTTTAGTTAAGACAGTGCCTTCAGAACATCTTTACCCCATTGTTACGCTAAATCAAGGATACTCTATGTACACATACGCGCGTTTTTTTGCAAGCTAAATAAAAAATTATTATTTATGGACAAATATGGACAAATAGTAGATAATCAGAATCTATATAATATATAATTTTAAAAAACATTTAGGAATGTTTACGATGAAATTTGTTCAACTTTTTTTTATTTTTAGTTTTTTTGCAAAGTGAACAAAAAACGATTATTTATGAACAGATGTGGACAAAGTCTGAACAATTAATGCTATATTATCAGCTATATCAATTTTGTAAACATTTAAGTCATTTTGTAAAAATTTTTATCTTGGGATCCCAACTTCACAAACCTATTAATTTCGATATTTTTATAGACAATAAATGAGCGATTCTTTGGTCCTCTCTTATGTTTCTAGGAAAATAATATGATAATTATTTTAAACTTGATATTAGTAAATACGTTTTTCGTAGTCTCAATATCAACTAATTGTAAACATTTCTCTTTATTATAACTTGTAAATATTAATAAGCTTCTGATTTAATTTATTACAATCGGTTTAGAAAGGAAGTTTAAAAAGAAGTTTCATTATGTTTAGTTCGATTATGACAATAGTCTAATGTTATAATTATTGTAAATGCTATCTATTCCACATGTTTTTATATCAGGATCTTTACGACACCGACTTTCAGAATCGCATTTTTTAATTTAATTTTAAATTGGCATTGTATCAAATATAAAGAAACAAAACCAAACCTTTTTACGTTCATTTATAAATAAAGCTACTTTTCCAAGCCATGGGCAATTAAATATGTATAAAAGTGCGCAAATTAGAAACTTGTACATTGCTTCCTTATCATTAAAGACCGTTACCATTGCTCCTATTTTATTTCGCTCAGAAAGCTCCTCTTGTGAGGAAGCTTGTATTTTATTTAATGTATAATTTATTAGTATTTATTAGTTTGGCTTTCTCAGGAAGCTTAGAGAAAGTTTTATGAGCGAAATAAAATAAGAGCAATGGTAGCGATCTGTAATGATGAGGAAGCAATGTGCAAGTTTCTAATTTGCACACTTTTTTAATTAACCTTTTTATAAATTGATAGAGGGTCAGTTTTGTAGCACAAGGGTTTTACAATTGACGTAATTTTAAATTAATGTTGACTTTGAGAGTTTAGGCTACATGGTCCATACATGAACTTTGCATATGAACCTTTGATCACGTATAAAGCTGGGCCTAATCAACCAAATCTTAAAAAATTTATTATTATATATGAAATAGAGGTAGAAAAAACTGAGAAATATAATAGAATTATAAATAGCCTGATATCTCTCAAAATTTGCAGAAATTACTTTCTGAGAGCAATCACAAACATTTCTTAAAAAATTCAAAATTTTATAAAGAAAAAACCTTTTTACCGATTATCGCCAAATTCAATACCAACCTTCCCCCCTTTGATGATATTCTATATAAAATTATACGTATATACATTTTTTAAGTAAAAATTGGTAACCCTTTCACCGATCCTCGTTAAATTCAATAACAACCTTATTTAAATGATACTCTATCCATCAAATAACTTATATATTTTTTAGGTAGAAATCGGTAACCCCTTCATCGAACCTCGCTAAATTCAAAACAACTTTCCTTTAATGATACTCTATATAAGCTTTTTAGGCAAAAATTGGTGACCCCTTCACCGATCCTTGCCAAAATCAATACCACCTTTAATGATAAGGGATCCCCGGTCTCCCCTACTCTATCCATAAAAAAAATAACCTCAATATCTCAAAATTTGCGGAAATTAGAGCAATTACGTAGACTTTTTTAAACATAAATCGGTAACCTTTTTATTATTAGCAATTTTTCTAATTTTTTATATTTTTTAGTTTTTTTACCCCTATTTCATACACAGTGTTTTAGGGTTAAATGTCTTGACTTAAAATATGAACTTAGGACCTCAAAACAAGAAAAAATGTTCCTCTGGAGGTATGCCCGTAAACGCTTTGTTTAAGACATATTGACATCTAAACATTTTCATTATAAAATTTTATGAAATTAACCAAGTCTTTTCTTCGTCAGTGAAAAATTAACAAGAGTTGTATATTTTGACCAAACTGACTTTAATGTCGAAGATTCTTACATTACATTAACTCGACGTTTCGACACTATTTTTGTGTCCTTATCAAGAGATTTCTAAAAAGTATAAATAACGAAGTCATTACAAGCACATCGTTACAGAAACAAATATCGCACAAGGAACAATTAAAGTAAAAAGGAAATATTTACCTATCTTATCAAGTTCACGAAATTACTTTAGCCACACGTAACGTTTTTGCAGTTCTAGAAACTTTGTCAAACATTTTAAAAAAGAGTCGCAATCCAGAGAGAGCCGTAATCATAATGCGAACGGAACCGACAGGTGACACGTCGTTCCGAATCGAAAGACAGCGACTGACTAATAAAATAAAAAAATAAAAACATACACATAGAGAGAAATTATTAAGTAGCTCTTATAATTTTATCATATAGTGGATTGAGATTTTTAGTGTCCTTCTTTAAATTGATCGTGTTCATTTGTTCCTTTTTTTTTTATGTAAAACATTTCTGCAATCTCCCTCTTTTTCACATTTTATGAAATTGTTCCTGAAACAGGTCCTGACATTAATTTTTTACAACGAAGAATTATTCAAGCATGTGAAATAATAGCAGCTACTCACAAGTATCGCTCTGCTACGGCTGCCGTCATAGAAAGACGCCAAGCCTGTCACAATGTTCAAAAAAAGCCGTCACTTTGAACAAAATTTATAATTATGTAAAAATTTTCATATTTTCTAGTAATAAAGTAGTTGAAGCACAGTATTAAATTATTTATTATAACCTGATAACAATTTCATAAAATTTTATAATGAAAATGTTTAGATGTCAATATCTCTTAAACAAAGCGTTTACGGGCATACCTCCAGAGGAAATTTTTGTTTGTTTGAGGTTCTAAGTTTATATTTTAAGTAAGGACATTTAACCCTAGAACACCCTATGTAATTTTTTAAGATTTGGTTGATTAGACCTAGCTTTATACGCGATTAAAGGTCCATATACGAGGTTTACGAAAACAAAGCTTCCTCTATGAAGAAGCAATATACATTAATGTTCCTTTAAAAACCCAAAATAGTTTTGACAAGTTGTACACCAGCGTCCGTAGAGTATAAATGTATGCTGTGGTACTCTCGCACTAAGAGAATTTTGTGTTATATTTTACCATTGAATTTACTACAAACTTAGGACAACTTGGCAACTAAGGAATTTTTGAAATATACAAAAAACATTTTACAAACAACGTGATAAAAATTACCAAGCATATTAGTATGTTTTGAAAAATTATTGAAATTTCCTAGATATATTTTAGTAAAATTAATCAAACATATTTTATATTTTAATGTAATAGATATTAATATTCTTTATTGGTAGATATTAATCAGAATAGCTCGCATAAAATTCTTTATAGTAACATATTGTCCCACAATTATCATGATTTCAAGGTAAATTCTAAGAAAAAATTCTCTCTGTGTGTTGATTACATTATCATATTAATAACATTTTGAATGAGCAAAAATATGTAAACTTTTTGACCACTGAGTTACCTAAACTATTACAAAAAATTTCCATAGTTCAAAGAAATCAGATGTAGTATCAATGGATATCCAGCTCATAATGCATTTATAGCCTGTATTAAATAATGTATATATTTCATAGTCTTCGCCTTTATTTGATTTTACGCTACCGCATGGTTTTTGTGTTCTGAGAAGGACTATCAAAGCAGTCATTTATAATAATATTTCTACATATATTATATTATATATATTGTTATATATTTTTTAAAAAATAAAAGAATGTATTAGAACTGCATATGCTAATATTAATCAGGAAACTGTAAGAGAAATCAAGGAATCGATCACTTATCATCTACAAAAATGTATCAAAGGCATTATGTTGAGTATTTGTTAAAATCAATTTTCTTTACCAATCTTTCTAAAATAATTATTTCATTGCCTATGTCTCTGTTCTTATACATTTTTGGATTTGTCATACTCAAAGTCACATAAAAGTAGAATCATACTGTTATAGATCATCACTGGATTGATCTTTATTTCAGCTATTACAACGCGATAATGCTGTCCTATTTAAGAAAATATGGATAACCTTGAAATCTCGAAAAATATGACCTTGAGAACAATTTTTTTGCCTGTCATAATATTTGCCCCTTCAAAACAATATAAACAAATAATATATAATATTTTTTTGACATTCTTTAGCATCATTAAAAACAAGTAAGATATTTAAAATGTTTAAGTTAAGTGGAATATCTTTAACATATACACCTAAATAACTAAATCTAATAAAAACAAATACACGATGTCTGCTACAAACTTTGTTGGCAAAACAAATCAGTATGAACATAACAGAATCCTTCAACAAAATATAATGAAATTGACTGCAGCACTTAGTACACTTCATTTAAATGAATTATGAAGTGACAGATTCTGCTCGGTTTCTGCTGGAAATCTACTATCAGATTATGTCAATAGACTTTGCTGGCACAACATAAGATTAATGAACGCTGTTGATACTACAATCTATCACAATATTCTGTTTGAATTTGTTGGCGAACTACTAGCATATTGCTAGTCTTTTGCTTACAAAATATTTATATGTATGTACCATACGCACGCACATACACACGTACTACATACGTCGTGTACCATAGAAAACTTACAATGCACTGTTATGAAACGCGTACATAACGATAAATGTCACACTAATTTTTTCTACTTTTTCTCGACTTTTCTTTATTGCAGCGTGTAACAATGATAATAATAATTTGCACATAGGACGCTGTAATTAATATCACACACTATCAGGGCTGCTGGTCTCTTGGTCGCAGTCTGGCTCGAGTTCTTCTGCCTCACCCTCGTCACTTTCGCTTGATGGACTTGGCTGTTCTAGTTGATATTGATTAAAGCTGTGCCTTGATGCGTGATTTTGGTGCTGATGATATAGCAGGTCATGATGATGGTAGCAATGGCCCCGATCATCAACCACTCGCTGCGGCGATAACTCGTTGATCGGGATGTTATGCGATCGTCGGCGCAGTCTACGATGACAGATCAGACAGAACATCAGGATCACCAAGATACTGCCGACCGCATAGGCTATCGGCATTGTGTAGCTGTCTGCCGGTATTGCCGCGACACCTGCAATTCGCATTATGATATGCATCCGCATATACAAATGATTTTACAGGATATTTTTTAAAAAACGGTCCAATACTTTAATAATATATAGTATTTAAAGGGATCCTATAGTGGCAGTAATTGAGATTATATTGCTGGTACGTTGATAGCGACAGGTGTGCGTGCAATAAGGAGAAAGATTGTGGCGAAAGTACGGTCTGGAGAGAGCTGGAGAGGACGAGAGCAGCAGAGCAAGGAGGTGTGGAGGTGCGAGAAGGTGGAGGCGATAAGGTTAAGAAAGGGTGGAGACAATAAAAAGGAGAAAAGGTAAGGAAAGTGACGGGAGAGAGGTGACCGTTACGGCATAGACGTGAGGTAATATAGAGGGACGATAAAACGGAAGGCAGTGACGCGCAAGCGAGCATAGGCTAGTTCGGATATAGAAGGGATAACTACTAAAAGTGCTTTCAGCCATAGGATAGATAACGAGTAGGAGAGATAGGCAAAGGTAAAAACGGCGGATGGAGACAGAGAAGGAAATGGAAATAGAGAGTAAACAGCAGGGAGATAAAGGAAAGAGGAAAGAAGGCGAAGGGGAGAAGAAAGCAAGAGGCAGGCTTACAAAGGCGGAGGAGCTTGCCAAACAAAGAGGAAGAACGGACAGCCTAGGATCGGTCAAAGATCTCATCCAGAAAAGAAAAAGAAAAGAGATAGAGGAAGAAGCGGCTAGAGCAGAGAAAAAAATTCTTGAAAAATTTAACGAAGCAAGAAGGGTCAACAGATCACTGCCAGCGGAGATTAAAAAAGAAGAAGAGGGTAAAGGAAACATGGCGGCAGAAGATCTGTTAAAACAGATATTAAGGAAAATAAAGGAACAAAAGAAGGAAAGGAAAAAAGATAAAGAGAAAATAAAAAACGAAGTTAAGGGATTAAAGGAGGAATTAAAGAGGAGCGAGGAAATATGAGAGAAGCAAAGAGAAGCGCTAGAAGAAAGGGTAAAAAAGCTAGAAGAGAAGATAGATGTGAAGGACGCAGAAGAGAATGAAGGCAGGGAGTTGATAGGGAAAATGAAGGAGATAAAAAGAAGTATGGAGATGACGGAGAGAAGAAGGAGGAGAAACAACATAATCGTGAAAGAAGAGAAAATAGGAAACGACAAGGAAAGGAAAGAGAAATTCGAAAAGCTGATGGAAGAATTAAACAAAACAAAAAGGATCACTGAAGAAATACAAGAAATAGGATTGGAAACAATAAAATGAGGTTGCTGAGATGCAAAAACTGGGAATCCAAAAAAGACATTATGAAGTTTTCTGGATGATGATCTCACCAAAGAGGAAAAACAGATACAAACAGAGATAAGAAAGATAGCAAGGGAGAAGAGAGAAAAAGAAAAAAGTATCACGATTGGTTACCAAAAAATATGGAAGGACAACAAGGAATGGAGATGGAACGAGAGTAAAGGAAGGTTAGAGGAGAGGAATTACTTTCATAGGGCATAAAGAAAAGAAAGAGGACAAAGAAATGGAAAGCACAAGAAACAAGAGAAGGAAAGAAGAGACACAGGAGGGGAGACAGGAAGAGGGAAAGAAAACAGAAGAAACACTGAACACTACAGATGATGTCAGGGAGGACGGAGGAAGTATAAAGGAGGAGGGAGAGAAAGTCACTGGAGGATATGATAGAGAGGAGGAGGAGGAAAATAAAGAGGGAGAGGAAGGAGAAAACAGGAGGGGGGAGGAGACGTGGAAGGTGGTCTTCTGGAACGTAGCAGGTATAACAAATAAAGATAAGGACTTCTGGGAAGGGATAAAGGAGTGGGATGTAATTGTTATGATGGAGACATGGATGGATGAGAAAGGATGAGAGAAGGTGAAAGAAAAGTTACCAAAAGAATTTAGATGGAGAGTACAGATAGCGAACAGGAGGAATAGGAAAGGTAGAGCGTGCAGAGGCATGTTAGTAGGAATAAGGAGTGGGTTAGAAGAGATAAAGGAAGGAAGAAGGAGGGAAGAGGAAAAAGGAAAAATAGAAGTTAAGATAAGAATAGGAGAAGAAATCTGGAGAATAATAGAAGTATATATAAACAAAGACATAGATAAGAAGGCTTGAAGAAGTGCACGGAGGAGAGAGAAATAGGAGTAAGGACCATAATAGGTGGAGATTTTAATGCGAGAACGAGAGAGGAGGGAGGTTGGGAGGAGGAAGTCGAGGAAAAAGGGAAAGAGAGAGGAAGAAAATCTAAAGACAAGAAGATGAATAAGGATGGCAGGACACTACTAGAATTTATCGAGGAAAGAGGATGGATGATCTTAAACGGAGGTACAAAAGAAGATGAGGAAGGAGAATGCACATACACAGGAGGAAAAGGTGAAACAGTTATAGACTACATTATAGGAGATGAGGATATCAGAGGAAAAGTGGAAAGACTAGAAGTAGGAGAAAGGGTAGACTCAGACCATCACCCTTTAATGCTATGAATAAGAGGTAGCGCAAGGAGAAAGTAGAGAAGGAAAGAGGTGGAAAGGATAAAAAGAAGAGGAATATGGAGCGAAGAAGGAAAAACGCAATTCGGTGAGAGGTTAGGGAAGATAGGAGGAAATAGAGAGTTGCAGGATGAGATAGAGGAAGGAACGTCAAAGATAAGAAAAGTATTAGAGAAGAACGAAAAAGAAAAGGGTAGAGGAGATAACAAGAACAGAAGAGGATGGTGAGATGAAGAGTGCAAGGGGAGAAAGAGAGAAGTGAGGAGAGAACTAAGAAAATGGAGAAAAGGAAAAGGAGAGGTGGAAATATATAGAGTAGGGAGGAAAAAGTATAGAAAAGTATGTGAAAAAAAAGGAGGAGAAGGATAGGATGATCAGAGAAATAAGAGAGGCGAGAACGGAAGTTAAGGTATGGGAGTTGATAGGTAGAGTAAGGAAAAGAAGGAAGAGGATGAACGAAAAGATAAAGTTGAAAGAATGGAAAAAATACTTCATGGAGCTAATGGGTGGTGTGGAGAACAGGGTTGTGAAAGGAGAAGAAGGAAGGAACAGACAAGAAGAGGAAGAGATAGAACTGGAGGAGGTTAGAAACGTAATTAAGAAATTGAAAACAGGGAAGGCAATAGGCAAGGACGGAATTCCGAACGAGGCATGAAAATTTGGAGAAGAAGAGATGGTGAGATGAATATGGGAAATATGTAAACGGGTATGAAGAGGGGAAGGCTGGCCGGAACATTCGAAGGAAGGTGAGATAATACCAATAGTGAATAAAGGAGAAGGAAGAGAGATGAAGGACTACAGAGAGGGATAACGATCATGTCTTCGATGTACAAGATATACACGGCGGTTCTAGCAGAAAGAATAAGGAAAGAAGTAGAAACGAAGAACTTGATTCCCGACAACCAAGCAGGATTTACAAAAGGAATGGGGACGATAGATCAAATATTTGCACTGAACTACCTGATAAACAGACAACTGGGAAATGAGAAAGAGAAGACGACAGTGCTACAGTGCTTTGTAGACTTGAAGGCGGCGTTTGACTCAGTAGATAAGGAAGTCTTAATTAAGGCAATGAAAGAGAGAAAAGTAAGGCAAGGATTGATAGACAGGGTAGAGGAAGTGTTGAAAGAAACCAAAAGCAGCGTGAGAAGGGGAGAAGAAAGAGAGGACTCATTTTGGATAGCGAAAGGATTAAGACAAAGATGCCCGCTAAGCCCGATACTGTTTAATTTACTAATTGCAGACATAGAGGATTACATGAAAAAGAGTAGATGGGGGGTGTAAGATTAAGAGGAGAAAAGATATATACTTTAATGTATGCAGATGACATAGCAGTACTAGCGGAGGAGGAACAGGACATGAGATCTATGATAAGCAGGCTAGAGGGGTATTTAGACAGAAAGGGTTTAACGCTGAGTATAGAGAAGACAAAGATAATGAGATTTAGGAAGGGAGAAGGGAGGAAGAAGAAGTATGATTGGAGATGGAAGGGAAATAAATTAGAAAAGGTTAAAGCATAGTGTAAGGATACATGGTGTGCTCAATTGGTGTCTTTCTTTCTCTAAATTTGTTTCTCTCTCCTGCTGTTCACGTCGAATTGTGTAAGCAGCGGTACCACCACTAAAAGTAACTAGGAAATAAGAAATTTGAACGGATTATGTTGCAAAACTGCTTCCTGAAAATGTATTGCAACGATGAATGATATTTGAAGATACGTTATACTGTATTTATTAGAAATTATTGGAAAGTATTATTGTTTAGGGCTTTAATGATTTCTCAACAAATAGAGTATTAAAGAAAATTTTAAAAAATAATACTTGTAAAGCCTTATGTACAAAGAATGTAATAGTATTAAAATTGCAATACTTCCTTTTTTCGAATGTTTTAATGCTTCTGACTATTTTTTCCTTTACTGGTTTTGAATAAATTAACGCAAAAAGACAAAATTATTGTCATCGATTAATGGCATGAACAAAGCCTAACCTTCTGCCCGATGATAATGTATATATTACGTATAAAAGCACTCTAGTATCTTACTGGCTCAAAGGATGTGGCGATAACTTTGGTGGCCCGTAAAAGTAACATAACAATTATTAATTTGATATGAAATTGGCGTTTAAAAATATGAATAATTCTACAGAATAGGGCCTTTTCCGAATTTTGATATTTTCTTGCGGTTTTCTTGGTAAAAACCTTTATTGTGACTCCGAAAGTGATAATCAATCGGGGGAGTCCGAAACATATGCACCCTACCTATTTTTTTTTACCTATTTTTACTTTATTTTTAATAAATGTCTAGATTAAGAGCGACCTCACCGATTTCAATGACCTTGATATATGTTATGACCCCAAATGACCTTCAGAAGGTTTTAGCCGTCGCTCGTTATTCGTTAAAAAGTTATTAACAAAAAAAAGTTTAGAAAATATAGCAGTTATTTTGAGCATTGGAAGGCATAAATAACTAATATATATGTCAAAATAGTTCACGCATACATTTTTTACGCGAACCGAGGTTTACGCACACCTCCCCCTGCTTTC